GGTGCCTGCAATGTGGCGACGCAGACAGACTAGTTTACCAAAGTTTTTTAGCCTCATTTGAAAAGCTGGCGTTTGGTTGGGGATTTAACTCAGTGGTAGAGCGCTTGCCTAGCAAGCACAAGGCCCTGGGTTCGATCCTCAGCTCCGGAAAAAAACAAAACAAAACAACAACAAAAAAAAAGCTGACGTTTGGTGAGTGATCGCTCAACGCAGAGGAGATTTCATTTGACAAGCGGGAGCGGGGTGCCGTGTGAGCTTGATGCTCTGGGGCAGTCAGGGCTGAGGGTATGGTCAGGGAGGGGTCCCTGGTCAAGTTGCTTCTGGTCTGAATGCCTCGCGTAGGCAGATGAAGGGTGAGGAGGGGTCAGGCAGGTAGCAGCATGGCCACGAGTGTGGCGAGGGCTGGTATACTGGAGCAGAAAGCAGGGGGCGGGCGGGGGGAGCCCCAGGGAAGTGGGGCTGTTTACAGACCACTCCTTCTCATCTGAAGGTTGTTAGTCCAGGGTGAGCCTGGGGTGGTAGAGACCTCCTGCTGACCCTTCCCTTCCGCTTCCTTACCAGAGCATCTTTTCAGTGTGTACTCTGAGTCAAGCGTTGCTCCAAATCAGGGGTAGCGCTGGCCAGGAGCAATCCCGAAAACTCAAAGTCTCGGAGGGAAGGAAGTCCAAAGAGAAAGGATGCAGTTGGGCTTTGTGAGATGGACCGTTGGGCTGTGTCCTTGTTCTGGCCCTTGTTATCGTCTCTGTGGTGATCAAGAGATCACGCATCCAAGAACTCCACACCTCTGCGCTTCTGTCCTTATTTCACACTCGGGACTGTGACTTGCATGGAGTGTTTGCTGTGTACCAGATACGTAATTCCCAGAGGCCCAACAGAGCCGGTACATGGATGGATCTCAGTGTCAGCACGTGGAACACATGCCTGCATGCCAGCTGCACCAGAAGCGACCACGTGTTAATGGCAAATGCTATTTAGCCATTTTATCATTTCTGCGGGGAAGCAGTTCAAGTGGCCAGAGTGTGGCTGCCAGGAAAGAAAGACCCTGGGAGGAAAAAGTGGATGAAATCGGGTTTTGGAATTCTCAGAGCAGATGTAACTGGATTTTATGTTTGACAGATTTTGTGTTAAGGTGCTAGCATTACTCATTTATCTTGCAATTTATATGAAGGAAAACTATTTCTGGTGTGTATTTTGGAACTGCCTTTTGACACTAATTAGAATTGTTAAATAAATTTGTGTCTGCATCCAGCTCTGTGTTCTTAGACAGCAGGGGTTCTCAGGCTGTGAGAAGTCCCCCAACAGCAAACCAGTTGTGGAAGAATGCGCTACCTGCCGGGGAGGGTGTTGCAGCTTTGAATTGTGTCCCAAGACATCTACCTGAGGATTGCCAGATTGTTAATCCTACTCTTAATCATTGGACTTAAACATGGAGAAACGAAAACCAAATCTGAGAACCCAAACTATATAGCACCGAGGACTGAGCGGAATCATGACCCAGAACCAAGTGTTCTCCACCCTGAACATCCGCACCTCTTCATGCCATTCGCCACAGGATGCACCGCCCATCTCTCATAGATCAGCTGACCTTCAGGGATTGAGAGCTTCTGTGGTACAATATTTAAGAGTGGGGAGAAGTATTGTTAAATTGGCCTCACATGTGGGCAGTGCTCTAAGAAGGGAGAGTGGTTTATGTTCTGTTCCTGCCCGGACTGAACACAGAGGGAGCTATACCACTGGAACAGTTGTGATATTTCAGAGAAAGACTCAGTGGTCGTGTGTACCTTAGAATTAAAAGCAAGGCTTGGGGCCTATAACTTGTGGACCTGGTACCTAATTTGTGATGAAAGAGTCTTGGTTGTGGGGAAGAGCTGAGTGAGGGGAGTGTGTGGGTCTGTAGTACAGTGTCATGGGCCCAAAGTGTGATGGGGGTAGAAGGGCAGGCTGGACCTCTGCTGCGTGTGTCTGTCCCTGAGCTCTTCCTGCAGGTACAGCATGCACTGAGGACTGGGAAAGCGGCGCTTTTCCTAGAAAGTGACTGCTGAGCTTTGAATCTGAAGTTCCATGAACACAGTTCTTAGGAATCTCCAGGCGGTTATACTCAGGCATGGCTCCCCCTTAGCGCACGTGGATCCCATTATCGAATAAGAAGTTGTTAGGAAGAAACACTTAAGGTTGTGTCTGATTTGAATCTAAATGTGCATCTAGTTGATGTCTAAACTGAGAGGTAACTGTTGCAGCAGGTGTGTTTATAACCTAATGGGATGTGTCCTAAAGGACAAAGCACCCGTCCCCTATGCTCACAGTGATCGCACACTATCGTGCGAATAAAGAGCAAGTGAACTAACTGTACACGGTGTGAGACTCACCGCAGGGACTAACATCCTTACATTTTTGTCATGTTCCACCTTCCGAGCCCAGCCTTCTGTTCTGTAAACATTGGCGTGTGTCTTCTTTTTATTCATTGAGCTGTAAGGTTCTCTGGGTTTTGACAAATGCATAGTGTTACATATTTACCACCATAATATCACAGAATAATTTCTTGACCCCACGAGATCTGCTGTGTTTCACCCAGTCAGCTTCCATCCATTCTTCTTGGATTTAGACAATTGCTAATCTCTTTTTTTAGGGCTAATCCTATTTGCCCTAGTTGGCCACCTTCTTCCTCCTCCTCCTCCTCCTTCTTCCTTTTCTTCTTTCTGTGCTGCACAGTTACAGTTATTTAATGTACGGCCCTGCAGGGTAGCTTATCCCCTTGTTAAGAGTCATCCACGTCCTTCCCTGGCCTCTCATCATCTCTTCTTACCATGAACTAGCATTGAGTTATGTACAAGTTTGTCTGTGTCTTCGCTCACTGGAAGGCAGCCTGGATGCCTCCAGAATTAGCAGATCATGGAAGAACGTCCTTCACGTAATGTTCCCATGCAGGTATCTATGTGGACGTGGGCTTCCATGTGAGCTGGGCCAATATATGGAGCATAACGAGGGATGATATTATTGTGTCACACAGAACACCTTTTTAGAAAATGTGATAATAAACGAACAACCCATCTTCCCAAACAGCATCCGGCTTGGATACTGACCAGCAGTGAGCAAGGACTGGTGTTCTACCTCCATACCAACAATTAGTGCTCTGGGGGGCGGGGGGTGTTGGACTTCAGCCATTGTAATAACTATGTAGCTGAGTCTTGTTTTTCTGTTACCTTCAGTTCACTAATGACCAATTAGTGCCTTTTTGTGTTTATTTGTGGATATTCACATCTTCTTTGTTAAGGTGTTTGTTCAGCATTGTCTCTATTTTTAAAGGCCGGCTGTTTGCTTGCTTATGGCTGACTTTGAAGAGTATATTTTGGATGCAGGTCCTTTATGTAATATACAGTTTGCTAACAGGACGTAGCTGTAATGTGCTGAAATAACAAGGGGTCCAACTTACAACTGTTTGTGCAGCCCGGCTTTCTGGGACCTAGGAAAGTAATCGTAATAGGAAAGGGGACCTGGGAGATAAAAATCTCTTCAGAAAAAGTGTGTGTGTGGGGGGTGAGTCCTTTCGCCTGGGGAGACCAGAGATTGAAAGCGTGTTGAGAGTCCTGATTCACAGTGTGGGCATCCTGGTGGGTGGGTGACAGGAACACTGAAGTCAAGGGCATCTGGGAAGTGAGTGAGGACCATGGAGTGTGTCATCAAAGTGGTAGATGGGAGTCTGAGGAATCAACTTTGTGGGCATAAGGAGAAGGAGGACTCTTTCCATCAGTCGTCTCCTGCAAGTTCCCCCTGCTACCGCCTTCACTGCAGTGCCCAGTTCTTTCTGTATCTAGGCGTGTGCCTTGCCATGCCAGGTGTCCTTTGTCTTTACCATCTTGTGGGAAATTTCTAATTGGATTCTGTTCCAAAGGTGCCCTTTGCCCTGTGTGGAACCCGGCGGGTCTCCCTCCCTCCTCTCGTGTGCTCTGTGTGTTGTATGTGTTGCAGTCAACCATTTAGTGCCTGACTTCATTGAAAGACGCCATCTGCCTTCTCAGCTACCCTGCTCTACTGTAAGATCCTCACAGCTGTGACTCAAGTGCTCAGCAGAATTAATTAACACGTGTGGATTCTCTGCTTTGTGGAAATGTGTGGCCTACTCCCTGCAGGGACAGAATTAGACTTAGTTTCCTTCTTTCCTGTGTCCCAGTCAAGTTTCTCCTGGTGCTGCCCTCCAGCCGTTCCTGTGGACGGCCATTCACAGATCTCAGTGAACATGGGGCAGTGAGAACAATTCTCACACCCAACTCGTGTTTGGGATTATCTTAATCTAAAAAGATGTAACTTTGTATTTTTGATATGAAAATATATCAAGTTACTTTGTCTTACCTATGGCCAGCAGTTTTCATTGGACAGAAACCTCAACCAAACAGCACTGGGGAAATGGCAGGAGCATTCTGAACCGACGCTGGTTGTAACACTGGCTTTAGTGCGTGTGCAGAGGGAGGAATTGGAGCTGCCAGCAGTAACGATGAACAGTGACTAACACATTCATCAGTCACTTTGGCAGCCATCCATGGTGTATTGCCAGGTTTAATGGATGGTAACTATTGACCATAGTGGTTTATGCAACCTAACGCACAACAGAAAGGCACAGCCCAGCTCAGGTGCCGTCGGAACTGACAGGTGGGGAACAGCTGTCTGGTGTGACTTAGCATCTCCCATCTAAAACTGCCAAGTTCTGACTTTCCGTTCCTGGTTTTACTCTTTTATTATGGTAATAACATAGAATGCCGTCTTAGCCTTTGAACAGAAGCAGTTAAGATTTCCTGACATCTTGTCATCGCCCATAGCCCACATGCTCCCAAAGCTTTGCCCTTTTGTCAAGCAGCAACTGTCTCCCCACTAAGTCATACTGTCCCAGGGAGCGCTCTCCGTCAGAGGGAAGGTCCTGAATCCTAGCACACTGTGTCTGTCTACTCTGTGTGCCCTGTGTGAAGATGCTGCATGGGTGAATCTTTTTCTTTCTGGTTCCTTTGCAGGTTTGACGGATGAGAAAGTGAAGGCCTATCTCTCTCTCCACCCCCAGGTCTTAGATGAGTTTGTTTCTGAAAGTGTCAGTGCGGAGACTGTAGAGAAGTGGCTGAAGAGAAAAACCAACAAAGTGGAAGGTAAGATGCTGAGGGCCCGCCCGCCCACCCGCCCACTCGCTCGCTTGCTCGATTGCTCGCGCCAAGGGCGCACAGATTTCAGACCGAACTTTGCTAGCCCAGAATGGGACAGCATGTTTTAGGAAACAACACATGTTTAATCCCAGCACTCGGGAGGCAGAGGCAGGCAGATCTCTGTAAGTTCGAGGCCAGCTTGGGCTAGAAAGCGAGTCTAGGACAGCCAGAGCTGTATAGGGAGAAACCCTGCCTTGAAAAAACAAATCGAAACCTAAAACAACAACAATAACAACAAAAAACCAAGCAAACAAAAACCCATGAAATAGAGATGTGCATTTTATTCCTGTCAGTTTTATTTATTTACTTTTTAAAAGATAACATTGTTAGAAAGAGGAACTAAATAAATATGAGAGAAACATCCTTAATTTAAAAAAAAAAGACTTGGCAAATAATTGCTGAGAATTTACTTAGTGCTTATGGTATTAGTCAGCTTGGAGTCACCGCAGTGTGGCATCTGAGGCCGTGAACTCAAAAGAGAAAAGGTTCATTTGTTTCCAGTTCAGGATAATAGCCTCATAGCTTTTGGCTTCTGGCAAGGACAGTGGATGTCAGTGGCAGGGACCAGTGTCCCAGTGAAGAGCTCTCATCACCAGCTGGGAAGAGAGACTGAGGGAGGAGACTGGGGTTACACATGACCTCCACATCTGCTCTGGTGGCTACAGAGCCTTTCATAGGCCCTTCAACCTGATGGGCCACAGCACACCCGGGACAACCGCTTTGTGGGCTGAGGGAACACTGTCTGCATGCAGACCATACCAGTGATGAGTATTGATTAGGAAACACAGTTCACGTTCCTATCTCTAAATACTGCATTTTACACAAGGCTGTCTGAAAACACCGTGCAGACTGCAGGAAGAACCTGGCTTGTCTTTGACCCATCCTTCCTTCCTAGTCACGGAGACTGCCAGAATGGAACCTCCAGAGGTCAGATGAGGATGGCCCTTTTGGATGCAATGTAGAGAGAGGAGAAGGACTCAAGAATGTTTTAAACTTCAGATTCTTTGATGGGCTGCCTGTGCTCTGGTAAATAGTCTCCCCCAGTGGTCACACAGGTAACGCTGTGCAACCTCAGTGGGTCATACACCAAAGACAGGCTTGCCAGTTTCAGTGGAAGAAGGCTGAGGAGGACCGAAATCTGTTAGGTGGAGGCATGAAACTGAAAAGAATGAAAAATAAAAATGTTCCTGGGATTTCAGGCATATTGTATTAAAATTTATGCCAAATACCATTTTAGAGGAGGGCTCCCTTTGTGTGTTTCTCTCTTATTCTCAGCAATCTATTTATCTTTTAAACTAATCAGTTACTTTTGCAGTTCAAAGAATAGAAAGTAGAGCTGCGCATGTGCCAGGCAAGTGCCCTGCCAACAAACCACATCTCCAGGCTTTAAAAATGCATTTATTTTAAACACAGGTTGCTTAAGAAACAGTTGTATTTATGAAAATAAGAAGTGTAGACTCAAAAGGTATGTGAGGTCAAATTCATTTCCCCTCAAACTGAGTCAATGTGAATGTGTTTTCTTTGAATATTTCGGAATAATTTTCCTTTATTTCTAAGTGGATATATTTGGCTATCTGACCAAATTTGCCCTCTCATTTTTATGAATGTTGTGTTCATAGGCACAGTTAATTTTACTTTTGTGTTAACACCAAAATAGTAGTTCTGGGGGGATCTTCTTAGTGTGCTAAACATCCTAACTCCTGTCTGACACACAGAAGTGGGTGTTCTAAAGATGCAGTAGAAATATGGGCAGTTTCCATGCTCTGGATAAGTTTTTATAGTTTTTGAACATATAATAAAAACAAATATTTTCAAAAGAGAGCTTTCTTGCTGAGATGTGAAGCAGTTTTAAAAGCAACCGTAGTGATTTGTACAGTGTCTACGAGTGTGAGTGCGTGTGAGCATGTGTTTTAAGAGAAAGAAATGTAGAAACAAATCGGAGATCGGCATTTTTGTCTCAGTCCAATCCTGTCATTGATGATTAAGAACAAAGCTTAACCACCGTGTCCCATCACTGTGAATCAGAGACTGGAAAACAGTTTGAGATGGTTGACACCTTGCAAAGGGTGGCTGGGCTTTGAAGGCATATCCTGAAGAATGGTGCATATTTTGGGGCAGGGAAGACAGCTCAGTCCTGCTCAAGTGCCTTCCACAAAGCATGAGGATTTGGGTCCAGATCTCCAGCACCTACGTGGTGTGTGTGTGTGTGTGTGTGTGTGTGTGTGTGTGTGTGTGTGTGTACATTCATGCAGAGACAAGAGTTTGGCATTGGGTATTTCCTCAATCACTCTGCCTCCTTAGAAGAGGCGATTTCTAATTTGGTCAGGCAGGCTGGCCAGTGAGCTTTAGAGACCCAGCTGTCTTTACTACCACAAACACTCTCCTACTGGGGTTACTGGTGCACCACGCACAATGGGCGGGCCACTCCCACATCAGCCACTAATCAAGAATCATGTACTAACTACAGTCTTACTGACAGCAGGATCTTCGGGAAGAATTTTCTCAACTGAGAGCCCCTCTTCCCAAACGACACTAGCGTGTGTCAAATTGACATAAAACTCGCCAGCACAGAACATGACATTAAATTTAGTTCTTACAAATGAATTTCCATCAACTTTAGTGTTTATGTTTAGTGTTAACACTAAACATTTTTATTAGGGCTTGAGAGATAGCTCAGTGGTTAATAGCAAGTCCTGCTCTTGCAGAACCAAGTTTGGTTCCCAGCACCCACACGGGGCACTCACAACCCCTCGCTTGGGCTCCAGGGTATTCAGTTTCACTGTCCTCCTCTGGCACCTGCACTCCTGTGCACTTACCAACAGAAAAACACACACACACACACACACACACACACACACACACACACACACATACACACACACACACACACGGTATCAGTTACTTTTCTGTTGTTGTGAAGAAATGCCATGAACAAAAGCAGTGTATGGAAGGAAATGTTGATCAGGCGCCTGGTTCCGGAGCACAGAGTCCCATCGCGGCATTTGGGAAGGCGTGGCATAGAGGCAGAAGCAGGAGGGTGGCTGGTCATTGGCCAGGTGGTTCTTGCCAGCCCTTGGTCACTTGTCACGCTGGTGCTGGGCAAATCTTTTCCCAAGCTCATTTGAAAGCTTCCTAAGGGAGTGAATTGTACTAGAAATGTTGACTATTGTTTATACCAACTGTGTGGGACCAGGTATCAGATGTGTCTCAGATGTTGTTGTTTCTCTGTCTGTCTGTGTCTGTCTGTCTGTCTGTCTGTCTGTCTGTCTCTCTCTCTCTCTCTCTCTCTCTCTCTCTCTCTCTCTCTCTGTATAATATTTGCATTGACTTTACACTTAATTTGAAAATCTACAAGTAGAATTTTGAATTAGAAGGGCCAACTTGTCCCTCAAGGCAACTTGTAGGAAAATGGTGTGTTGCGCTCTTGCTGAAGTCTCCAGAGCACGTTAAAAGGTCACTAGTCTTGCAAATAGGAGAAAGTCGTGATTCGTTGCTTTCTTTTGGGAGGTCTGACAGCCTGGTCTGTCTCTGCAGTTAGCTCGCAGTCAGGGAAATCTGATGGGAGAAGGGGAGAGAACGGGGCTCCAGGGTGGGGGTGACCACTGGACCATTCAGATGAGAGCTTGAGCGGTGTTCTTAATGTTTTCAGTACAATCATATTGCTTCCTTACCATTTCCACTTCAAATGTATAACATTTTACATGCAGCTGAGAGGCATCTCTCTGTGTGTGAATATGTCTGTCCGTCTGTATGTGTGTATGCATGTGTGTATAATAAAGATTTTAAAATTGCGCCACCCCACCATACTATGTGATAGCCGGAGATTGAACTGCATTTAAACTGGTTAGTATCTAACAGATGGCTCCTGTGCTGGTGTGGAGTGTAACAGCATCTTAAACCAACGAGGCACGAGCTCCCATGCCAGAACACACAGCCTTGCAACGTTGTAGTTTGTAGAACACTAAAAAACGATGTGCGCATCTGAATAAACAAACAAGACATGTGTGAATGGTTTTCATGGATCATAACTTTGGACACCTCTCTTTCTTTTTCTTGCAACTAGAATGATTTTTATCCTATTACAATTATTTTACCTCAGCAGTTGAAACTGCATTATCAACATGAAACTTTCAAGTCATGTGTTCATTTCCTTTTGGCAAATGGAAGTCATGCGTTGAACGCTTTGATGTGAATTATAAATAATCATGAGTCTACCAACTGTAAGCAGGAGAGGAGGCAGCACTGGCAGTAACTGATACATTGTATCAGTTCTATTAATTGTGTGTCGATTACTCACTCTGACGACGTGTCTTTAAGTGTGTGGCTTGTGAGTGAGGTGGCTCATGATTCTGAGCCAGACCTCAGGTCGAGATTCTAATAACATGAAAAATGAAGTCTCATCATTACACCATTGTGGGTGCCTGGGAAACCGATCCAAGTGTGTTCCTTTGCTGTGGACTAGACTCATTTCTGAAGCTGTGTCTGTATTGTCTTTGAAGCTGGTGGCGGCTCTTAGTTATGCACTAAAAGCCATTATGTTTTCTAAGCAGAAGTCTCACTTCTGAGTGATTCAAATGAATAAAAACTTGATGAACCATTAGGTTTGGGAAAATACTTGTTTTCATTGAGGTTTCTCTATACTGTTTGTATTTTCTAGTTGCACATATAGAAAAAGATGTTTAAATGTTAGTTGTTGTAATTCTCAGCATTTAAAATTTTGTTTCACCTACGACAGATTAACATAAAAACTCATGAAAAATAGTGGTACAATAACTTCCCTTGTTTTCAAATCTACCTCTTAAAACCTTTCTGAAAATTAACAGCAATCTAAGTTGACTTCAGGTTGCATAGGCCGTTGTAGAAATGTCCTTGAGAGGCTGGTGTCTTCACTAGGTTTTCTGTTGTGTAACACAACATCATGACCAAATGTACAAAGAGTGTATTTC